AAACAGTGACATGCTCTTCACAACAGTGTGGGCCACACCGACAACGACGCTTGGCTGCTTCTGCTTTGTCATATAGAAATGGGACTCGGAAATAGACAGGAAGCTGCAGTCTCAGTTGGCCTTGATGGTGAAAAATCAGTGGTTCCCCAGGCAGGACAGCGAGCTGGCCTATGAGTTCTTCTGGATGGGTAATGAACAGACAGGCATCCTCCTCTGAGTCTATCTTCCATTGGTACATGTGAAGTATCCTCAAGACCACAAATATAAACATTCTGATCTCCTTGCCTTGATAGCACAGTCCCAGCAGTAACCTGATGGAGCCTCACTTTGCCATTCAACAATGAAGGATTATTGAATTTTATTAAAGTTGACGTGTTTCTTTGCTGCTTTGGTGATGGCATCCATCATATGTTTGCAATTACAGGAATCTTGCACAGCACTGTAATGGAGAACTGCTGGAGGAGTTTATGTCGCCATCACAGTCTTCTTCAATATTGACTTGCCCACAAGACTGCTGGCAGTGCCCTCAGAGCCAAAGTACACTCTGGCACTTTCATATGCCATGTCCATATCTGACTTAGCACTGCTAGAACTGTTTAGAAGCCTCTGCAGACCCTGCATACAGAGATGAAGAAAGCCACCTTCTGAAAACATGCTGAGTTTTTTGTACCAGAAATCTTTAATGTATCTATTTCCAGTGCTTTCCCAGCTTTTGCAAACTTTTCTCCAGGACCTTCCTCTGATACATCAAACACTTGCCTTTTTACTGCATTGCTCAAACTTCCTCCAGATGTTACACTTGCCACAGAGATGAGTGGGATGGCTTGGCTCTGACAGTTGAAGAGCTCAGTACTCAGACCAAGGCAGTTGTGCAAAGCAAGAGTGTCACTCCCTGCAGCCTTGCCATGATGATCTGTACCACTCTAACAAGAGTTTCAGGAGAGTTCTGGAAGACATCTTGAAAGGCATTTGCTGGAAGTCGCAATATTATCAACGGAATGGCTGCTCAGGCTGAGACCATTTTATAAGGAGCAGGGTGACATGTGATAACACCAAGAATGCTGAGAAGGCTGGGGATGCTGTCTCCTGCCAGCACCTTCTTAACAACCACTTCTGTTCCATCACTTTCTTGGATGCAAAGTTCCAGCTTGCCATCCTGCACAACATAAATGCTGCTATCCAGCTGCCTGCCAGTGATGTGATCATCATCCTGACAGCTCGACATGATTTTGTATATATTGTATATATTTCATTATTTTCTTCTTATTATTTTATTAATATTTTCATTAAAGTAGCTTAGTTTACTTTTTAGAACTCGTAAGTCTCTTTTCTCTCCCTGAAGGGAGATGCTCTCCCTTCTCTGAAGGGGAGAGAAGTAAAAGAGAGCATCTGTCATTCGTTTCAGTGGCCAGCCCAGCTCAAACCACAACAACCTGCCAGAAATGTGACATTCGGGAATAAAAAAGCACAAGCCACTCTGGTCAGATGAGCGAGAGCCCCTCCAGGAAAGCCCCATCAGGATGAGAATGCAACTGAGGAACTTGAAAAAGAACAACGAGATGGCATTTGATATTAAATAGTGGTTTTGGAAGATTAGTTTAACATCTCTTTCCCTAGATTAATAAACATGGTGAGTTTTTTCTTAAAAAAAATCCAGAAAGCTATTCTAAACATAAGCCTTTTCCTCCTATTTTCAGTCCAGACACTGAAGTTTTGTAACTGCATGAGCATATGATTAAAAATAAAAAAGCAGAACACAGTAGTCACTCATATATATCCATGATCCAATTAGAAGAGATGAAAAAGTAAATAAATGGAAGTGTCGAGTATCTTATGTTAGTAATCATTTTATCTTTCATTTATAGCATTTTTAAAATAAAGATCTCTTTTTTTTTTAAGATTCTTGTTATCTGATTCTTGTTTTCTTGGAGTTCAGCAAGCAGAAAAATAATACCATTCCAAGAGAGGAATGCAATAACACTTTTTATTACAGCTATATTAAACATGGGCTACTGTCATCGGTGGATTTGGATGCTTACTTTTCGTACATTTTTTTCTAAAAATAAAGTTCAGGCCAAACTTGAGTGTTTCTTAGCTGCCATATAGACTGCAACATTAATTCTGGCCTCCCACATTCCAAAGAAATAACTTCTTTGTGTTTAAAAGATAAAAGGGCCACAGGCAAACCAAACGTCACATGAACCTGGCAAACAAAATGACCCAGGCCCATTAGAGAAGGAAACTGCAGCTTGAGAAATGATCCCCAAAAGGCCACGGCACTTGGGCCTTCCCTGTTTGGAGCCCACCTTGAAAAAGACGCAGAAGCGCGTGACTGGGCCTTGAAATAGCGTGAATGGGCTTCTCCATATGAAAGCAAGCAACAGGATGATGCTGTGGTGAGCTCAAAGGTGTCCTCCCGGGACACCGGTAGCAGATGATGTGCAGGAGGAACAGGAGACAACAGCCAGCACTGGTCTCCAGAGCTGCGGCGTTTCTGCAGAAGGATAGCTGGAACAGAGGTGAAGGAGTCTGGCAAGATGGCAATCAAGGCAAGAAACTGAGCAGGAGCCAGAGAAAGGTCCAGAGCGGGAGGTGAGGCTCTGGAGACAAGGCCACTGAGGGAAATAGGGAGAGGAAGTGATGAGCAAAAGAAGGAGTCCATGGTCGTATTTCAGAAAGGGAAAATAAAAAGGATATTATTACCCTAGTTTTTAAGGCACCACCTGCTGCTTCACCTGCAGTTACAAGTGGCCACATCTGTGTAGCGACTGGGTACATGTTCATAGAATCATAGAATGATTCAGGTTGGAAGAGACCCTGGGGATCATCGAGTCCAACCATCTACCCTACTCTACAAAGTCCTCCCCTACACCATGTCCCTCAGTACCCCATCTAAACGTCCCTTAAACACACCCAGGGATGGTGACTCCACCACCTCCCTGGGCAGCCCTGTTCTGGGCTTGTGTCCTGTCTTTCCTATCACTCCCACAGGTTTCGAACCCCACCGTCACAGATTTTTCCAGCTTGAAAATTCCAGTGGTAAAGTTAGAAACCTGTAGCCATTAGAATAATGGGAGATCCCTAGAGAGAGCAAACACTGCTATGTAGAGAATTTATTAGCAGCAGGAAGAGAAGCCTGTATCAGCACTTTACTGGTGGATAAATCAGTGGGTTTGCTAATGATGTTTCGGTTCTCTTGATTGAATTGGATTTGTAAGAGAGAAATGCAGCTGCAGACTGAATTGCTTTATATGACAAGAGAATAATGAGTAGCCAATCCCGAACACCCAGGGTTTCTGTATATATGGGATAATTTAGCTTCCGTTCTTGTTGTTATTATTTTATATGCAAATGAAATTATCAACGCCTTTATATAATCGCTTCCTGGCTCACATTTATTCCAGAGTTTTTGCCAGTTGGAGGGCAAGAGAAATTTCTTCCCCTCCTTTTTAGCCAGGATCTAACACTAAATCTTAGTCCTGGTGCAGCCTGTGGGAGTTTTATTATATTATAGATATGACCCGTTCAGAGACATTGGAAGTGAACAGAAAATACTGGAACAGCCTGTGGTTATGAGAGTGCTATTATTTATTTGGAGACAGGGCCCATTACCTTATGCTATTATCTACATGTTACATGTGCTGGGTTTTGCATATTTTACTTAACATGCACATCAGGTCCTTTTAACAGTGGTGGTTTGGAGATGATCTGGCTAAGTGCCCTCATCAGCTTCTTGCTAGGTTGTTCTCTGGGGTTCCAGCCAGTAAATCTCTATGTGTTTTAAGCTCTAAATAGGCTACTGCTCCCCCTCCGAAGGATCACGCTGAGCTGAAGCAATGCCCGCTGGAAAAGTAGAAAATGGGATGCCAGCTGGCAAAGAGGGCTGAAAAGAGAGAAAAAGAGATAAAATCATTCTTAAATTGAGAAAGTGCCTTAGCAACGTCCTCATCTGCTGGGTGGGAATAGATCATGGTTGCCTGGTTGGTCTTTCAAATGGCTGAGCTCCTAAATTACAGTTACGCCTTGCCGTTGGAGAGAGGGAGTTGACAGAGATGTACTGTTGAGACACACTATAAATTAAACAGATGGATTGTGAAGTCCAGGCTCTCTCTCCAGTGATTGTTCCTCCCACTAGGGGAAAGTCTTACAAAAGCTTCCCCCTGATGCTCAATGGGACCGCGGTGGTTTCAATCCACTGTGACTTGAAAAAGGCTTTGGCCAGTAGGTAGGACAAGTGGGGAAATTTACTGTGGGTGACTGACTGGAGTCTACCCAGAGCGAGGAGAGATGAACTGGCAACGACATCCTTCCCACCACTTGCACAGCAGTGAGGAAGTTCTGTGGCTTAATTAGGCAAAGAGGAGAGATTGATCTTCCCTCATCCCCCGACAGCTCGGGGACAGCAGTGTGGGAAGGATCTCGGCACTTCATGCTTTCAGTGTTCACGATGCCAGAGGCACTGCCTTTTTTTTTCTGGTCGTCTAGATTAGTCCTTCTCATTTGCTCTGCTGGCAACACTTCATGCCCCACGTGTGGGAGGCGGACAGGAGCGTAGGAGCTGAGAGATGGAAGATGAAAGAGCAGCATCAGGCTGCGGAGAAGCATGTGTTGGGGTGGAAGGGATACAAGCTAGGTAGGAGCCTTTGTGAAAAAGATGATGAGGGAGCAAGGAGAACACATAGGTGGACTGAAAACGACGGAGGTAAGAGAAACCCTGGAAGCAGCTCAGCTGGATCCTTGGAGATCTAAAGTATGATGGACATTGCCAGAAAAACGCATCCCAGTGCAGATCCACTTAATTCAAGGCAGCTCGGTGGGGACGGCAGCAGCGGGAGCGGCAGTGTAGGTGTTTTTCCTTCATGCAGTATGCATTCAGATGGTATTTCAAGCCCTGCAAAACGCAACTGCTAAGCTGTTCAACATTTTAAAGGTTGCTCAGTTAAGAAGTATAAAACAAATGCTCAAGTTTTATTTCTGGAAACCAGGAAATGAAAATAATATTAGAAAACCAACAAACCAAACATAATTTTTATCGACGCTTTCTTCACAATTATAATTTTGGGAACCCTATTAGAAAAGAAAAATCTGCATTGTACTTGAGATTCTGTTGTATGTTTTCTAGCATTATAGTGGTTTTACATCATTTCATGCTTCAAAAGCCTGGCATGAAGAAAGTTAAGCTAGCAAACCAAATTGTTCAATTACTGGTTTTTAATATGGTAAAGTTTCAACAATATAAACTGTTGGTATGTTTTATTCCAGTAGGATGTGGTATCTTCTTGGACTGAAGTGAACAATTCTGTTAATGCTGACGGCGACTACCACACTGCAGGCTATGCCTAGAATGACAAGTTTCCACAATGTAATACAAGCCAGTGGTGCAGTTAGTTATTATCAGTGCATTTACCACAAAACCCCTTTAGCCATAACCATGCTGTAGAAACAGATTTCGTTTTGCTAGGCTTGAATAATGCAAGCAACACTGCTAGACTAAAAGAGCTATCGAAGGGAAGAGGCTACAGTAGGGCAGCTATTTTTCTTCTTCCAAACAAGATTTACCAGCTGTTGACAGGGAAAGTCTAGGACATCTTTCTAGAGCAGCTCTGCATAGTAACACACTTGTGAAGGGCAAATAACTAATCTCCTTTAAAAAGTTGTCTATAGGAGCACTTTTGCATTCTGGGGATACACTTTTATGCTCTCACACTGCAGCTGCAGATGACCTGCAGAGGGATCTGCTCAACAGAACAAGCAAAGGAGGGAGCACTGAGCACTTTGTCAGTCATTTTATCCCTTTGCTTCGCTGGCAGAGGAGAGCAGTTCTGGAGTAAGGTCATTCTGTAGCACAATGCATCTGTTCTTTCTAGTGTGTCCCTGAAATTAATTCATCATCTGACATTTATGACATCAAGTCCTGTTGCCATGGCACCCAGTCACGTCACACATATCACACATGCAGCATCACTGCTTTCAGTGCAAGAGAAAGCCTTAAAATGGGCAGTACGGTGTGCATGTTCTGAGTTCAATGGCCAGCAGATAATGTAACGAAGACCACAGGACCAGTAGATAATGATAAAAGAAAGATAATGTAACAAAGACCACAGGACCAGTAGATAATGATAAAAACAGCCACCATAATGGCTGGTACTAGATGATCTCCAGAGGATATCATTTTGTGATTCTGTGATTCTGGTCAGCTGCAGGGCTTCTTGGAGGAGGTGCCAAGAAAAGACTTCATGCGTGCCCCTGCGACACCCAGGGTGGTGACACCAAAACAGGACCACAAACCAGCTGTGGTGCTGCTGACACAGCTCTGTGGCAGAGCAGTATAAATGTTATGCTCAGGAAGACTCAGTTTAACACTTTCTTGACTCCAGTGCAGGATGATCTGGCATTAATTGAAATCCTAAATTCAACAACAGATATATAGAAAACTGCCAAAAAGTCATAAATATTACTAACTTCCCAGATGTAGTAATTCTGTTGCACCTGTTATCTTTTTTTTTTTTTTTTGATTACTCTTGGTTTACAGTCCTTTTCAGATTTATATTCTCCAGTTATGCAAGGACTATTCTGTTTGGAGCAATTTATCAAACTTTTTTTTTTTTTCAAGCGCATTGCAGCAAAAGTGATTGAAGTTTTAGCTGAATCTCACCACTTTGCATAAAAGGAGGATACTGGAATGGGAGGCTTTGGTTATTACTCAACCATTTCATGGAACGTGCTACAGACCAGAAGTGTGGCCTTTGATGAATTATTTCTTAAGTGAAAACATACTTCAGGCATTTAGTTCTGTCACAACAGTAACTCCTTTCCTTCTCTCCGGGGGGAGGATATTACAAAACCTCAAGGTACCCTGCGTTTACATTTTTGGAGCTCTCTGACAGAGGACAACTTAAACTTGCGGCAGTCTTGATATTTTATTATGCTTCGCAAGAGAGAAGTGGGCCATGCAGTCCTAACCAGCAGAAGTGGGGGTGACAGGAAATGGAATTTGCTTTAAAGTGGAGCCTAATTAGTTTCTGAAATGTATCAGACAATGTGGTTGCCGGAGGTAGCAAAAACTAGACATGATGACCCAGGAGATCTCTTCCTGTCCAGTGCAAAGGATGGGAGTAAGACTTAGCTACGTAAGAATCAAAATTAATGAAATACAAGGCACGAACTTTTTCTTGCTGGATGCTTGTACGTGTCTAGACCAAAAAAAGAGCTGACTGAACCTTGGGCCTCCAACTCCTGCCACGGTTCACATTGAAGCAAAAGTTATGAACCTGAATAAAGCAAGTACACTCCTTGGCACAGCGGCTGCAAACCTGCACACTCAAGACACTAACTTTTACACAGAAAATAGCAATGAAAAAAAATATCATTAGAAATCTTGGGATAAACCCTTCCCTTTGGGTTTGACCAAAACGAGCATCACTTTCTGTGTACAGTGAGGCAAATAAACGCATGCTTTTCTGGATGTTTCGTAATAGAGAAAGCTGGCAAACATGTCTGATGAAAGAAACGCAAAGGGATCAGTTTTTATACCAAAGCTGGAAAAATTCTTGAAGGCTGCGAGGACTACAAAAATGTGCTCATACGTTCTAACAGTGGCAACATTGCCTGAGGAATACTACCTCTAGACCTGCTCATCTGATTGCTCAAGCTAGTGCTTCCCTTAATCCTTTTCACAAGAAGCAAGCTGGATTCCATTGAACAGCTTAGCAGCAGGGCTCTTCCAGCTCGGCTCCTTTGGGCTTACAGTGAGGGAGTGATCACACCATTAAGAGCTGCTGGCAGACCTCGATGGCAGTAAACTTTGGTGGAGTTGAGCCACAGGGGCAACTTCTGTACCTAGGGAAAAGGATGCAGGGGATAGCCAAAAGCTGAACCTCAGGACTGATTATTTCAATCTTCGCATTTAAGTAGAGTCTAAAAATCACTATAAACAGATCAGCAGCCTAGTTAGCTTCCTATGCCATCCCCCCATGGCAACTCTCTAGAGGACAGTATAAGAAAATTCCATGAATGAAGCAATATTTTATTACCCCTTCCCAGCTTCCAGTAAGGTGCAGCTTAGGGACAGCCCAGGACAGTGGTGTAACTTAATTTTTAACAGCCCCTGATAGACTTGTGCCCCCGCATCTTTATTGAACCCAGATTTTGGTAAAGTGTTGCTTTTATTTAAAACACAGTCTAAAAACTAAGGAGAACCACTTTGAACTCCGTTTGGAAAAAATCCCTTCCAATCCTTTCCACTTTTCTCATCCCTTCCTCCAAAGGTATTTCTTTGGGATGGCTGTAAACAACAGCCATGGGGATAGCAGTTTTGTGTATTTTGGCTTTTCAAACAGCTTTGTAGGCAAAAGATCTCAGTGTAGTTTAGGGAACCAGCAGTGGTATTGGCATCATTAGGCTGAAAAGTATTTTCTTTTCAAAAACTATGTATGTTCTCACTTAATCTGTTTGCTTGCTCTCTTAGAAGAAAGTGATTCATGATTAAGGGGGAAAAAATCCTTCTGTGACTCTGCAATTAATAGAATCCATGCACAGAGAATCTTGATTACACACTCAAAGCTCAAGATGAGCAAAGTCTTTCTCCTCTTTTGGTCAAGCAAGACTTCTGAGCTGCTTGTGCCCTGCAGAAATTAATAGTTGAGGCTGATGCGTGCGCGCTCACCTACTTCAAGAATGGACTGAGCCCAACCAATTCTTCCACTATGCCAGCCAGGTCTCCAAGAGAAGAATACCCAGCTAACGGTGTCACACTCTATCACCTCCTCACCCAGAGCTCCACTGCACGTGTCTCTGTGTACCAGTGCAGCAATTCCAGCTGGGTAAGAATATATGAAGGGATGTAAGGCCTTGAACTTCATACTCTGGCTATAACCACCCTTCAGAAGTGGCTGAGACTCCCTCACTGGCTGCTATTCTACCTAGGAGAAAGGCCCTAAGAATTTCTTTCCTTTGGACTATCCAGGCAAGATCACAGGAGACAACAGAGCAGGTTATACAGGGCAGACTATTAATGAAGTAGCACACGAATATGAAAACAGAATTTTGTCACAGCATGAATTGATTATTTATCAAATTGTATATTGTCCAGTAACTTATGCTTCTAAAAAAGAAAGAAAACAGGATTCTGGATATTTCCTTTTGACAGACTGTATTTTACATTTTGGGCAATCATCTTGGCCCTTCTGTAATTCTTTCAGCCAAAATATTCAGACTAGCATGCCAAAAAAATCATACTTAAAAATCCAAATTTAAGCAGCCGAATCAAAGTGTCTTGCTTTTCTCAATTTCTATTCAAAGAGTTGGACTCCTATTAATGCAACAAGATGAAGATGCCAATATTTGAAATATATTTCATATAATGAATAAGTGAGAAGCTTTTGCAAAGAGAAAAAGACACGAGTGAACAAATCCATAGGGATTATATATGTGTTTATCCTTCATGAAGGCTGTTATGGATTTTAGGTTGTTTTTTATTAAAGCTTCATCTAAGTACAAGATGTTTGCAGTGAGCCATTATACAAGACTACCATCAAAAAGGATGAATACTTACCAATAAGGTTGACTAAAAGAAAAGTTATGCTCATCAAAATTGTTTAATCTCTTCTCAGTTTGCCTATACACACAGGCATACTAAACTGTCAGCTGCTTTATGGGGAAATAATTCTAAAAGGACAAATGTCCTTGACAATGTCACCAATGCGTAAGAGTAAGCAGTTTTTCTTTCAGTAGGAAAAAGGGAGGTCATTACTTCATTTGTATGTTAAATCTGTACTGTGCTGGTTCTCACAGTTTTTTAAATTTCTTTTCAGAATGCTTTCAGTAGAAAAAAGACCATTTTTCTCCAATCTCCAAAGTGTCTTCAACCAATCACAAATAATTCTTCTGAAGATGAGGCTGATTTGCATATTTGCATGTAGCAAATGAGGAAATCAGTTCCTGAAATTAAGACTAATTGATTGTATGACAACTTGTGACTTCAGGATGTAATTCATTCTACTGGAGCTGGGAAAAGCTCATGAGAAACCACCACCAAGAAGTGAAGAATCCCCTTTGGGCAGAACTGCAGTTGGCATAACTGAAAGTGAAGGTTCTGGACAAGGAATAATCAAGTCTGCAGCATCACAGTCATGTTCTAATCAAAAGGCTGGTGTAACATTGTATTTGGGGGGAAAAAGTAAGTCTACATGGTCCCATGACCGAGGATTGCAGCGTAAGACATATGTAGAAGAAAGGTGAATGTTACACATATTCTGACTGAACAGCCATTTTTGAGTTGCAGTTGCATTGCTTCCACGATGACATGTTTTTATGTGAGGTATTTCTTAGAAAGTAAAATGACACGGGAGCTGGAGTAAAAGAAGTGAAATCCCATCTCCAAGTTCCACTGAACTACTAGCAAAATGAGACATCTGGCCAACTACCAGCAACAGCCCATCCCCTGAAATTGGTGAGCAGTATAGAGATTATTTGGCAGCAACTCTTAAGCGCGCAGTAGTGTATTCCTGCCTTTCAGACCTTAATACATTGTTCCTAGGGAACGTTTCATCCAGTACTCTCTACTTTCAACCTCATAAAGCCTATTAAACCCTCCTAGAAATAGTTAAAAGAACCAAAGGCAAGGAAATTTCTTTTATATTTTAACTGAAGTAGGAAAGGAATTCAATGTTTGTCTTGTATGAGGTCTTTACAAATACTTTTGGAGACCAGAATTTCTGCTTCTGCTAGCAGAACCAGTTGGATGCAGAAACAACCACAGCAAGAACTGGGAACTGGGTTGAAAAGTAGGAACAGCCCAGTCCTACCCATCCTTTCTTTGTTCTGTCCTGAACTGCACAGGGGAGACACCATCATCACAGTGCAAACTTTTCCAATAGGAACAGAGAGATCTGTGCAGGTTAATCTGGGACAGGGTTTCCCTCCAGCAGGTGCACCAGTTCTCCCATTCATTTTGTGCCATACTGTGCGTGTGTGGCATTCCTGTGAAAGTCCCATCAACACTCTTCATGCTTCTCAGTATGTTAAAACTGTTCTTGCTCTAAGTTCAACATTCCTTTAACAATATTATAGCTAAAAGAAAGCTTTAGCATCTGAGAACTGGAGTGCTGAATTATGGAAGTTTGCTTATAAAAAAAAGTAATTACAAGGTATTATAAAGAGAATTTATTTGGTTAGCAAAAGGAAACCCAAACAAAACACTGAATTTCTGACAAAACCTGCCAAAAACAAGAGTGAAGACAAATGCAGAACTGTTCATAACCCTTTTCCCTCTCCTGTCTTGCACAAGTTTTTCCGATTAATCACACCAGTAGTAAGTCTTGGAGATTGGGGGCTTTTACTTTCAATGTTCAATTTATCTCCGTCTCATCACATCTAAAGTGAAGGAGGTGGAACTGAAATTAAAACGCTGCTTTGAGAAAACATTGTTACTACTAGTAAAAGCAAAGATGTTCCAAACTGCACCCCAGACTTGCTTTGGTGCTGCTGGCTGCTGCAGAGGGCTCAGGAACTGCTGGTGTGCAGTACAAACTACACACGCTACAAAGATACACCAGACACAACGGGCATGAAGTGAAGTTAGAATTTTAGTTGTGACCTTCCTCTGTTGCCAAAAAGGGATATGAATGTTTGTCACAATTAAAACAGCATAAAGTTCTTTTGCCCTGGCACAGAAATGCTGCTTAATTCAAACTATAGCCCTTCAGCACACAACGGCACGTAGCAGAAACACTTCATTGAAAGGGTTCAGGGTACCATTTTCTAAGGCATCATCAGTATTAAGGGGGCCAATTCTGCCTCTCTCACACAGACCACTTGTGTGCTTCATTCCACCTGGTCAGCTACTACTGGGGCAAGCACAACTGATCAATAAAGACTGACAGAAGTGGAGCCAAACAGCCTGCACAGATGGGTAAGAACACACAGAGGCACATCTAACCTGCCTGTGTTTAAGCTTTGTGCATGTGATATGCAGGTGGGCATCGGAAAGCTGCACCTAAAATAAACACAGCCCTCAGGGCTATGTGGCTTCCACGCCTCCATATATAGCATACAGACATATCCTTAGTCTATCAGACTAATACGTCTTCTTTAAAGCTTCAAACCAATTAGATGCTTTTTATTAGAATGGCAAAAATCACTGCAGGCATTGGCCCCGAGTGCTTTGTCCTCTTAAGCTTCTCTTCTGCTAAACAGATCTCTAACAGGCAGAGCCACATCAGGCTTCTCCCCTGCTCCTCCTGCCCCCTTCATTAAAACATTTTTCTATGTAATTTTGCTTCAGAGGGAACTCCTGCCAGAGAAGTATCAGTCTGGAAGAAAAACTTCCTGCTTTATTATAAACCTTTGAAAAAGAATTCAAATGGCTGAGCTGCAGTAATTTGATATGTTGTATCTTGGCCAGTGGGCTCCTGGTTCTCAAAAAAAATCAAAGATTAGCAGACATAACACTTCGAGCTGTGCTATGTTAAACAGGATCCAAATGCTACTATGTTAAATAAGACTGAAAAACGAGACTATTCAATTTCCTAAATGGGAAGAGCAGACAGTTTGTATATTCTTTTTCTTACTGGCATTGCTTTAAGTCTTCCCAGTTCACTGAGTATAGACATTGTTATGTTTCTTGCGAGCATGGTCAAGGCAGGCAGGTATCAAATGAGTGGAACAGGTTTGATACTACTGTCCCTCCTACTACACTTGACAACTGTATATAGGTAGAATGGACTGTGACCATCACTGACAGACAGTGTAAAAGGAACACAGGACAAAGAAACACGCTGCCCTTGCCAGCCTCTGCCCCAAAGCCAACATTTGCAGTTTGTTCTTTAAGCAGCAAAACCTGACTGAGGCACCTGTCCCTACACCCCTGTGCCAGGGCAGAGCACAGTCCAGGTACTCACAGCTTAAGGGGAATAATGGGCCAGTATTTGGGCTGCTTTTTGTCACAGTTTCTATCAAAGATAAGTTGCATGGCAGCCTCCATCGCCTGGATTTTGGCAGCTTCAGCACCATACAGTATCTTCATTTCTGCCATTCGCCTCTCCCCAGGTCTTTCTGCGGGCGGCTCCACAGAACGCCCCGTCCTTTTGTGAAGGTCTTGATCAGCTTCCACGTACTGGTCCTCAGCTTCCAGCTGCTGCTGTCTCCCTAGACAAAGAAACCACAAGAGATCTAAATTACTGAGCCATCAACCAATCATGTTTTATCTTTTTAGATATTACGTATTCAAATTTGTGCTGGGTCTAGAGGGCCAACATCCACACATTCTATTTATCCTGCTGTGCTCATTATGCATAATGAGAAATTCCTACCAAACAGCACAATAAAGCCAGACTGGAAGAAGCGGGAAGAAGGGAAGAAGACCCTGGAATTGAATCCTAAAATTGTAGAAAACCTCTGTATTAGCAATAACAAGTAAAAATAAGCACTGCTTCATTTCTCCACAACATACACATGCCCTGAAAAGGAAAAAAAAAAACCCCAAACCCCACTCTTCCCACTCCCCTCCAAAAACCAAACATCAAAGAGTTGAGTTATTTCCAAAGTAATGACTTAGCAGCTGAGATAAAGAAACAATGCACTGGACAATGCAACTTTAGCTGAACCACAGCCAAGAGAAAATGTAATCAGTTACTATATGAAAATGAACAAATCGGTCATGTAAATGTCTGCCATGAAGTGCATCCAATGAAACACAGCTGTAAGCACTGCATTTAGATAAACTAGACAACCCCATCCATTTCTCAAGACTTGCAAAGTTCAAAAGATTAGCAGATTAGTTCTGCTAATTGCTTTGAAGACAAACCAAAACGGTACCCAACATAAATACCTGCACCACATCTTTTAAACAGGATTTAAAACAGTTCAGAGGGGTGAAACATTTGTACAAATTTGTCATCCAAAATCCCTTTTGTAAGCCTAACTGGGAAGCAAGAACTCTATTCTGCGTGCCCAAACGTACCGCCACTTCCTGGGTACCCTCTGATGGATAATAATGCTCTATGCAGTGGAAATAGTTATGTGTTATACAGGGCTCCCCTCTTACGGGGACATTTCTACAACAACTGCCAGAAGATTTTATTCATCTTGAACTCCTTCACCTACCACTAACAAATGACAGTTCTCAAAACCACATCACAGAAACAGTTCGCTACTAATATGGGCACTTGTTCTTTTTTAATTTTTAAAAACCACGAAGAGGGACAGAGTGTCCACTCTGCATTAGTCACATACAGGACATGCTTCTCAGTGTTTGGTGCAACTTCCCTCTTCCCTCTTTCCCCTAAGACAGAGAGTTAGCTTCCACAAAACACATGACATCTGCAAACTCTAACCCAAAGTTAAGTATCCTGACATATCTGTGTCAAACATCTGCAGTTTATTTTCACACTGGAAAGTACTGTACAGAGCAGCCAACTGACTGTCTGTCAACCTTACTAAATGAATTATCCCCTGTACCTCATTCACAGAAAACAGATATTTTCACCGCTATAATCAGAAACTTCAATTCTGGCATCTGTTTGACACAGAAAATTTTTGTTCTGTCCTTTCAAACACCATCGACAGTTTTGTGTTGGTAGTCGAAGGGCGGGAGTGCTTGAGGGCGGGAGTGCTTGATTAGCAATCTATTCCAGACAGCAATTTCACTTTCTGTAATTTTGCTTTAAGGGCACACCCCTGAAGTGGGCTGCAGTGCCAGAATTCATGAGGAAACATATATTAGAGTCCATATGTGTTTTTGGAAGAGTCAGATTTATTTGGTGTGAGGCCATTTTAACCAGAAGGTCTGAATTAATAGAACTAACACTGCCTACAGAGAGCCCAGCATCATGAGGACAGGCTACAGCACCCAGGCTATGACTACGCTTGCATCCCGGTGAAAAACTCCCTGGGACACCAGAATGCCCACAAGTAGGTAGCACACTTTTAAGCATGAACTTGATGGAAATTACACTAAATAGTGTTAGACAGCAAACAAAAATCTGTGCTGGAAAAACAATGTCTCCCACTGGAGGTTACTCAGCAGACCTCTGGCAGGGTGATGAATCGAACTCCCTTGTGCCACAAACATAATTCCTGGTACTTCTGTATTGCCCACGGAAATTTTTTATTCATTAGTTCTGTAGCTGCATGCTAAAGACAGCTGCTTCCTTGCTTGCTTGCTGTAGAATGCTCTCCAATAGCTCATTCCACATAATAACACTTAAGAAAAATTAATTTCTCTGGAGATAGATAATGAATTCTTCTGTTTGGAAATTAAGTGGGTCTCTAGCAGAAGCTTTTTGATGGATGAGTGGATTACAGTTTAGTGTGCATCAATCTCCATTTTGTAGCACAGAGTAGTTCATAAACCCACAGATCCTAACATTAGCAATCAAAATAATAGTAACAATTTAAATTCCATTCTCAAAATTACCTAATGAACGTCTGGAATATATATTTTACTTTACACTAATCAGATATACTGCCCTCAACTTTGTAACCTGACTTGTACTATTCCATAGCTACTAGTTAAAAAATTCCAAGAGCGAATTACAGAGTTTCAGACACATAAATCAGCTCTACAGAGCCCAGGCAGAGGCTGGGGACAGAAATCTGCTAAAGGGACCCACAGCCTTTTGTAGCAAAGGCTGAATTTGAGCATAGAAGATGGCAGCTGTGCTGGTCATACCACTGGAGCTGTGTGGAGTATGTTGCAGTTTCAAATCAGTTATTTGTGGAGAGATACTACCATGACAAACTCCACTGTCAGTGACGGCGCTACTTGCTGTCATGAAAAATCAAGGTAAGAGAAATAAATGGGTATGTAAACTACTGCAAAGTAGCATTTCCACTTAAACACAGAGATAAGAAATAGATGACAGCATAAAGTTTTGTCATCTTGAGATGCACACTAAACTTTCTTTGGTGGGGCTGGAACAGTCCAACTGTTCTTACTTCCAGTAGTCTGGGTTCTTTCCATTACTTCAAAATTTATTTTAAAAACAATACAAAGCAATGCAACTCGAGCTAAATGTGCAACTACGTCTTCATCAAAAAGCTGACAACAAGCATCTGACAATGGAAAAAACAAACAAAGAAAAAATTATAAACTGTCTATAGCCCTAAACCTATAGGGGCAACCAGAAATTCTCTGAAGCAAGTACCCAATATTCATCCACGAATTAGGTGGCAAGGTTTATCAAAACACTAATTCTCAGCCCGCAGTAATGAAGTCCTCACCACATTCTCAAATCAGAGTTTCACACTCAGAATTTGTAAGTCATTGTGCTGCCAAGTTAAAATAAAACAAATAATTTTTTTACACAATTCTAAGTAGTTCCTCTTTCCACTTCACACAGACTAAAATAAATTGCTTTCTTTTACAGCATTTATATATTCATTCAACTACTGGCAAGCTTCCCTGATCATGGAACAGTATTTTGCAAATGTTCACAGGGCAGGCAAGCAGCTGCAGCAGTGGTTGGTTCCTGCACAAAGGAGAAGCATTGCTGACAGCTTCCTAATTGGTCAGTTCTATTTCTTCCCAAAGATGCTTTTCCTCTCTTGAAGCTCTTTTCAGAATTAGCTTATTCCTACCAAGTCCGGTTCTGCTGGGAAGTCAATCATTAACTGGCCAAAACCAGTTGAGACATCTTTTTCCAAACACAGCAAATAGCCTTTTTTTCTTCACCTTTAAGGAACACTGAGATCACTGCTTAAGTCACACTGTGTCCTGGGACATCATGAGAGATTCCAGTCGTTTTGAAACGAAGAAGCTGGGACTCTTTAGTCTGGAGAAGAGAAGGCTGAGGGGAGACCTTATCAATGCCTACAAGTATCTCAAGGGAGGGTTGAAGGAGGAGGGAGCCAGACTCTTTTCAGTGTTTCCCAGTGAGAGGACGAGGGGCAATGGGCACAAGTTGGAACATAAGAGGTTCCACTCAAATATGAGGAGAAACTTCTTCACGGTGAGGGTGACAGAGCCCTGGCACAGGCTGCCCAGGGAGGTTGTGGAGTCCCCTTCTTTGGAGATTTTTCAAGACCCGCCTGGATGCAGTCCTGAGTAACATGCTCTAGCTCTAGGCAATCCTGCTTCATTTTATGGATGACTTTTCATCTAGTATATCGCAGATTAAAAGAAAAGTGAAAAAATATAGACAACTACCTCCACCCTCAGGGACTGCCAAAAGGAGGATAAACAGTAACTAGTATCTTATTAATCACTAGCAACTATTTACATTTGGGGCTTCATATGCACACAAACGCCCTCTTACATACTTTCAGCAAAACTATGACCTAAGCCCTTCAAGATGTAAGTTATTTTCCCCATAGGCCTTTAGAAACTCAAATGTCTTGTTTCTTTTATTTCATAAAAAGGAGAACGTCATATACTTTCTGTAAGTTTGATCCACTTTGCTCTTCTTTCTCTGCAATATTCTTTCAGAAGCTTAAGTAGTAATAAAAAAAAAAAAAAAGTTCCTCTCTGGAATACATCCTTTTCTTATTAAAGAAAAAAACAACCTCAAAACCAAAACCCAAATAAATTCCCTTATTTGGAGAGAAGCCTCCATGGAGAGGCTTTTCAACATTAAAAGAAGATAAAAGTAGGGAGGATAATTGTCTGTGTTGGATTTTTAATGAAAGATTCATACCCAGCATTGTGTGGTTTCTTGTCCCATTTTTAGCTCTTCATATTTATACATCCAAGCCTTAGCTCACTGTAGGCAGTGATCATGTACCATCTGACGGCGTTTCTTACACGCAGCTCTCCACAGCTCTCTAGGTGCACACGTCCTGCAGTCTGCCACGTTCCTGGGCTCTGCCCCACACAAAGACAGCTACAGACCAAAGGCTTGCTCCCCTTAAGTATCAAATGGCCTTCACTGACTTTCAATTCCTTGCTTAGTTTGCATATTATTCTTCAAGGAAATATTATACTTTCCCTAGCCTTGATCTGATTTTTATTTTCCATGATTTCAGACTGACCTATACCCCTGCTCACATATTTGCCTGCTTATTTCAAATGATGAATGATTTTCTGTTACTGCTGCATCTGCACTTTTCTGAGCTTTCTCATCTTGTCTTAAATGCTACCTGAGCTAATCTTGAGCAGCCCACACGAACAGAGTTAAAAACACTACCCATTTCTACTGATTAAAAACTCC